GTCGTATTTTTGCGATCTTGGAATTTGTCAAACTTGATTCATTCTTTCGCACTTAAGATTATTTTTAAGCAAGATATCGCCGTTTAAAAAATCGCAATGTCTGGGCAAAATACGAACAATTGAAATTTATTTTATTGCATTCGGCTCCGTTGGTAGTTTCAGAATGAAAAAGGGTACATCGCGGATCGCGCGCACAATTGATTGCGTGCGGCTCCGTCGGTAGTTTCAAAATGGGAAAAAAAGGTACATCGCGCGCACAATTGACTGTGTTTTGATTTCGCAGTTACTACTACGATGAAAACCTAACATAACGCCAAATTTTGTGATTTACAATGTCTATAAAAGCGTTTTCAATCTGAGCCGAGTCTGCTGAAACCAAACGTGTGATCTTCCATTTTAAGTTTTAGTTTTAATATTTTAGAATGCCGCTTTTCAATCAAGAAATGTGAGTTGCGGATTTACCTCTTTATTAATTATTATTTTTAGCATTTCATCGTCGATGACTATAATATGGTAACATATTTTTCACATTCAACTGATGATTCCCCACGAGAACAAAAAAGCAATTAACGTCGTCATTGTGTAACAATACATGTATATGCCGATCGACCCCTAATTTATTAGTATGTTTGTCAATTGTCAAATTTACAGCTTTAGTATATATATATATAATTTATGCTTAAAATTTAGTTTTATTTATGACTTGCATCAACCCTATTAAAAAAGGTTCAGCATTTAAATTGGGTAAAGTACTTTTAACTTGCTCAGGAATATTAATCTGAAAGTAACAATTTTAACATTTATTTTGGGGCTCCGTGAATAATAGTCAACCTTTTCAAGGGCTCCGCAACACCAAAAGTTTGAGAACCCCTGATTTAGATCATGGTTTCCCAAACCAGGGGTCGCGACTTCAAATTGGGTCGGAGTGACATTTAGGTAGGGTCGCAAACAGGTTATGAGGTCGCTGAGGTATGGTAGTGGATGGATGTACAAACCATCTAAGATTTGACAAACCATGTTGAATTTAGCAGTTTGTAGCATGGCTTACTGTAAAACAGGCCCATAGACATCGCTCTCTATGCTTATGCTATAGAAAATGTAGGTGCTTATTGTGACATCACTGTTCGGTTTTAGCTTATTTTACTTAATACCACCACATGACCAAACTCAAAAGTCCAGTAAAAGAAGCTCTAGTCTATAATTCCATGAAAAAAATATATATATCGACTTGGGGTCGCACTGGACACTTCAAAGTTGTGTTTGGGGTCGTCCTGAAAAAAGCTTGGGAACCCCTGATTTAGATACTAAAAACATCTGGGTGCATACCCAGCTTCAGTAGACTTTCTAATTAAAACAATTTGAAATTTAAATAATTGTTAGTTCACCCAAAACGGTAACAAAAGTCAACTTCTATGTCGCCTTACTGTATTTTTGACAGATTTTTTGTGATTGTAGTCTTTAATCGCATATATATATAATGTATTTCTCAAACATGGTGTAGAATGAAATTTTCAGTATTGCTTTTTGAATTTTCATACCATGAAATTTTTTGGACTTGCCAAATATTTATTACCTTGCTTTGGTCAAAAAGTGCTCTCATTTCAAGTTCAGGTATTAGTTTATTTGTGTGTGTTTTTTGGTGCTATGTATGAATCTGAACATCTGAAATATTACTTTTTATTCACGATGTGAATTATTTCAAGAGAACAAATATTAGTACCAAAATCTCACAAAACACGGACTGTAGACTCTATCAGAGATGTATCTTCGAAGCATTAGCATTTGGGACAACAATTTTCAATTTTATCAGAAATAGTGATGAAATGAAGGCGCGCGCGTAATGTGATATGGAATTAACATTATGCCTCAATATGCCTCAGTTCGTACATTTCCCGGAAGCTAAATTAAAGTTGAAAAGAATAAAATAGCCGCGAAGCTATTGTTTACTCTTACGCCACTTTCTGATATAATCATCTGTTGGGCATATCAGGTGACAAGAACTTGAATCCCCGGTGCGAACCCGCTTGTTATCTTGATTAAAGCGCGACAATTAATGATAAGAGTTTATACCGCCGAGTCTCAAGGTGCGAGCGATAACAAATGATCAGGTAGTTCCGATGTTCCAGACTGAAGATTGCATAGACGAAAAAGTGCGAGCCCTTCGCTTTATAATCCAGCTCGAATTCGAAAATGACATCAATCACTTGGGTTCATCCCAAGCAGAAGACCTCTTCCATCTATTGGCATCAGCAAGTATCGGTCTATCACAATGAATTCACTTTATGTAAGTAAGTATTAGAACTGTGCATTTTCAAACTCATCTTATAATTCGCTTTGGAACTTTTCTGGAACGGGTTTTGTTTTTCGAACAAATATTCCGAAACTCATTTCTAAAAGATCCCGACTGAATATTTGACTATCATCAAACGAATATAAATTTAGCCGTCGGCTCGTAATTTGGGTATTCGCATCGGAACATAGCGGAAAGAGCTGTCTTCATATCATTAGCTCTTTACGGTGTGTCCTACTGCGAGTACAACTTACACAACACTAGTTATACTGTTTACTATAAGTCAATGTTATGAAGAAACGCAGACAAGAAAATTGATACCTCACTTCGGAACATATCGGAAAGGGCTGCTATAGTATTCAGCTCGTTCCGAAATGTCCTAACGTGAGTTGATCTCGGATATCTTCACTATATCACCTCAACTATGATTACCTCACTATATTTGGAGGTTTACTACGGAACATAACGGAAACGGCTGGTTATTGTATAGGTGTTCCGCCTGGTCCGCTATGTCCTAATGTACGCTCATCTTGCTTTCACCCGTTTTCCGATTCCTACTTTCCGATCTTTACGTTGAAACTTATTTAGAAACAGGCCGTGTCTTAGATGGCAGTTTCAAATAAGATTCAAAGCAAATTGAGGACTTTCACGCAACGAAAAGAGAAGAATTATGTTTGAATTGTCCATATTTGGTTTCGTATTGGAACTTACTTGGAACGGATTTGAAGGACATTATGTAAGACCTTTCCGGTAAGATCCACAACGAAAGAAATACTGTCTCCTACTACAAGTCATATGTATTTTGTTAATACTGTTTTAAAGTAAGACAACGATTGTTTCGGGTTTTCACAAAGGAACATGGCGGAAAGTGCTGTTTGAAATAAAACTCAGCTAATTCCATCATGTCCAATGTGATTACACCGTCTATCAGAGATGCAAGAAGAAAATATTGGAGAGTGGCCTTCGGAACATAACGGAAAAGGCTGTTCCCAGTTTCTGCCTTCTGCGATATGTCTCAATGACCGCGGTACTTCAATTTCTACAATCCAAAAATCTGTTTATAATTTTCAAGATACAGGTAAACTAAAAATTACTTTTACTGGAGTGTGGTCTTCGGAACATAACGGAAATGGCTGTTTTCATCTTCGGTCTTTTCCGGTATGTCTCAACAGCCACGAAACTTCAATTTCTACAATTTTTATGGGTATAATTTAGGAAATCAAAAATCACATTTAAATAATGAAGAGTGGCTTGTGGAACATAACGGAAAGGGCTGTATTGAACTTAAGCCTTTCTCGATATGTCTCAGTGGCAGCTATGCTTCAATTTCTACAATCTGCCTAAGTATGGAACAAAATCCAATACGTGCTGGGATGTGGTCTTCGGAACATAACGGAAAGGGCTGTTATCATATTCTACCTTTTCCGATATGTCTCAATAACCGCAATGCTTAAATTTCTTCTACAGTGTTGGATTGAAACATCTGTGAATATTTTCTTAAGACGCAATGAAACTTATATTGGAACAGGCCGTGTATTTAATAAAATGGCGGTTGCTTATAAGTTTTGTAGAGTCTTAAGACCTTACTCAAATAATGACATAGATTTAATAGAAAACTTGAAAATATTTCATTTTCAAGGCTTCAAACTGTGTCGTCGTCTGCTCTCTTGCTTTGCTGTGAAGTAGCTCAAATATCGACTTTCTATTCTTGAATTCGGGCATTTTTATGCAATCCAATAGTCGACCTCAGTGACGAAGTAATGCAATAATTAGACTTGAAAAAACAAGCTGCCAATTATCGTAGAACGACTTGCCTAGAATATAATAGGGAGATTTGTCTAGTAAACTAGTTGTCACGACCAAACTGCGAAAGATTGAAATTTTGCACGATTAACTACACGCCAGCTTCAATAATAATCCCTCGTTAGCACCGTTATATTGATCATCAGTGTGCGAATGTGTACAGGTTTGTGTGGATGAGGTCAAATACAAAAGAACATTTTTTAAAAAATCAGCCATTTCTTGTCATTATCAGATGTTCGATAGATTTAGTAAACTATAGAAGTATTTACGGTGAAAAAGCACAGATTTCCATAGAATTTCGTGAATAGCAATACAGTTTACAGTTAAAAATTCACACAAACCAGACAATTGTCAACCTCATACGATGAATGATAATTCTTTATCAGACAAATGTCAAAAAGTCGTAATGCGGAAATATATTTATAATAAAACATATCTTGCAACAATGATAATCACAAATTTGATGAATTTCAATGAATAAAAAATAAGTGACGCCATGATTATAGAAGTAACTCAAAGTTTTGAAAAAAACATGTACCTAAGGAGCACGCAATTGACAAAATAACTCGAGACGAGGAAAATGTCTGTAACTAGTGAACAAATCAAATTTTACGTTTGGTACTTTCGTCATAAACAAAACAACAAACGACAGAAACTACGTTAGTTGGAGTGTTAGACTAATATTGATAATCTAACTGAGCCTTGAAAGCGAGATCTCACGATTAATGTTGTCAGTAACTTAGGCAGCCTGTCATCCTTCATAATTAAAACATTAATACAATATATATAACGTTTTAATGATGTGGATTATAAAAAACTGTTTAGGTAACTTCAGTTATAGGTATAAATTCAGTATATTAGCAAAAATATATGAAATATGTAAATTGTTTCTCATCGTATGTTGCTGTTTTTTTAATTTGATAGGAATAATAAATTTGTCAACTAATAAATATACAACTTTTTTTTTTAATGATCGCTGTATTTTATTTTGTTGTAAATTTCAAGTGAAAATGGACATTTTCAATACAACATCCAAGAGTACCAAACAATTAACGAAAAAAAAGCACTCAATTCAAACAGTTTTCAAGCCATGTATTGTTTCATCTTTCTGAGTTTTACGGAATACGATTGTAGGATAAACATATGTCAAGATGAAAGATAATTCTTCATCTGCAGTATTCTCAACATCTAGAAGTTTCTTGACTTTTTTTGCGAGAACGTCAAGCGGGTCATTGCATGACGTATAGTTACCAATGTGATATTCGCCCATACTTGCAAAAAAATCTTTGTATTCCGACATAGTGTATATTGCATTGCTCTCGATTCCATTGTTCCACTCTTTTGTATTATTTTTCAGTTGTTTAAAAATTTCAACATAGAAATCGAACGCCACTGTTGTACGGTGGTGTGCGTTCACATTGCTCAGATAATCACGATGTACTTCTATCAGAGAAATACTTTTAATGTATCCTTCATTACTCTGAGTCACTTTAGTTGCTTTTATAGGAACATAAGTGTATATTGCGCAGCATCCACCAGGCTTTAAAACTCTTTCACATTCTCTTTCGAATATTTCCATATCAAGCCAATGCGCGGAACAAGCACACGTTACCAAGTCGATGGTACTATCTTCCACGGGTAACAGATTGTCATCAACCAGTTGAAAGCATACATTTTCGCTTGTGTTGATTTTGTTTGCTAAAACTATTTGAGCTTCGCTGATATCGATCCCTAGAATTGATTCAAAATGATGTGAGTACATATGAGTGTTCTGGCCGCTACCGCATCCAACGTCAATCATTTTTCTTGGTTTACAATTAGGTTTGATTCCGTCTTTCAAATACTTCAAAACAGATTCCAATATTTCTGTAGGATATGTTGGTCGACTTACCAAGTACAAATTTGCTAATTTGCTACCTTCATAATATCGATAAATTTTAGCTGGCAACATATCCTATCCCGTTTACAGCTTCATACCAAACTCGTACTTCATAAATTGAGTCCGTACTTTTTCCTATTTTCGACATCAGTTACTCAAATTGATTTCATTGGCACGCAAGTTGCAGTTCTCGTGCTCACTAACGAGTCACAGAAGTCACGGTTAACTTTTTTTGAACAACATCAATTTCATTAATGAATATTCAGCACGTTGATACTGATCATCGCGAATGTAACACATAATACGGTTGTTTTTGCACTTACACCATATGTACCACCGTGTACATGTTAAACTTTTTATAAATTGAATTTATGAATTTATTCACAGCCACTATCAGCCGTCGTACTCGGTTGGCCGTGATCTGTCATTAATGTCTCTAGACTCTGGACCAGGGATGTTCAACCTGCGGTCCACAGGAAGAATTCGTGCGGCCCACTTGAAGTTTTTATATAAATACAGACATATAAACATATTTAACATGAGAAAATTTCCTGGTATGATATCAAATCTTACTAGAATTTAGGCTATAATTTCACAAATTTTGAAAGCCTCAATTATATGAAGTTCAATACTGTCTTTTACAGTTGAATGTCTTTCAAATTATTTAATTGCTCACATAGAACTCATTGACAAAGTAATGCAATAATTAAACGGTGCTCCCGAAGTATGCGAACCAAGATGGCGGACATCGGAACGTAACATGGGTAACAGGTTAGGGTTAGACGATAATTTTTTTCCAATTTTCCTTATTTTAGTCCTATTATCAGTTCGAAGACTAGCCAAGAGCCTCCCGTAGTATTGATACCTAAAATTATGGCCTAACCCTAACCTAGTACACATATTACATCCCGATGTCCGCCATCTTGGTTCGCATACTTCGGGAGCCCCAATTAAACTTCGAAAAAGAGAGCTGCCAAACATCCTAAAACGACCACGTAGAATATATTAGGGAGATTTTTCTATTATTCCCAGTGTGAGAATATACCGCAAAGTGTATACAACAGGTTTGGGGATTAGGTCGAATACAGGACAAAATTTTTAAAAAAATCAGTCATTGGTTGTCTTTTGCAGATGTCCAAGAGATAGGGCGGAATAGAGTAAAATTATAAAAGTATTTACAGTAACAAAGCCCATATTTCAATAGAATTCCAAGAATAACAATACAATTTACTAATAGAAAACTACATAAATCAGACAGTTGTTCACCTTTAAGGTAAATGCTATTTCTTCATCATAATTAATCCGAAAACATATTTATATAGGCAAACATATTTCGCAACAATGATAATCACACGTTAGTCATTCGTTTGGTTGCTGAATCCTACACCACGTCATACAGGCATAGTGAATAAATAATAATTAGATGCAACACAACCGAAAGTGACGTCATGATTATAAGACTAACTCAACCCTTTTGAAAAAAAAACATGGACATAAGGAGAACGCAATTAAAAAAAATTATAGAGACAATGAAAACGCTTATAGCTGAAAAAGAAATTGTATTTTGTGATTGATACTTTCGCCATAAACAAGAACAGTAGAAGTAACAAAACGGCAGCAACTAAGTTAAGTAGTTGGATTATTTATGATCTGACTGAGCCTCAAATGCGAGGTCTCATGATTAATGTTGTCGGTAACTTAGGCAGCTTGTCATACTTCAAACATTAATACAATATAACGTTTCAATATTATAGAATATAAAAACACTTTCTGGGCAATTTTTTAAAATGGTCAACATCAGATATAGATATTCATTCAGTATTTTAGAAAAAAAATATTAGAAATATACAAAAAAAAATCATCCGTTTTTTTTTTAATTCGATGAAAATGATAAATATTTAACTAACAAATTTACAATTTATTTGTTAAAAAATGATCGCCGTATTCCATTTTGTTGTCAATTTATAGCGAAAATACACATATTTCAATACAACATCCAAATGTACCAAACAATTTGCGAAAAGAAAACACTGAATTCAAACAGTTTTCAAGCCATGTAATGTTTCATCTTTCTGAGTTTTACGGAATACGATTGTAGGATAAACATATGTCAAGATGAAAGATATTTCTTCATCTGCAGTATTCTCAACATCTAGAAGTTTCTTGACTTTTTTTGCCAGAACGTCAAGCGGGTCATTGCATGCCGTATATTTGTCAATGTGATATTCGCCTATACTTGCAAAAAAATCTTTGTATTCCGGCATAGTGTATATTACATTGTTTTCAATTCCATTTATCCATTCTTTCGTATAATTTTTCAGTTGGTTAAAAATTTCAACGTAGAAATCGAACGCCACTGTTGTACGATGATGTGCGTTCACAATGCGCAAAAAATCACGATGTACTTCTATCAGCGAAGTACTTTTAATGTATCCTTCATTACTCTGAGTCATTGTAGTTGCTTTCATAGGAACGTAAGTGTATATTGCGCAGCATCCACCAGGCTATAAAACTTTTTCACATTCTCTTTCGAATATTTCCATATTAAGCCAATGCGCGGAAGTGGCACATGTTACCAAGTCAATGGTACTATCCTCCGCGAGTAACAGATTGTCATCAACCAGTTGGAAGCATACATTTTTGCTTGTGCTGATTTTGTTTGCTAAAACTATCTGAGCTTCGCTGATATCGATCCCTAGAATTGATTCAAAATGATGTGAGTACATATGAGTGTTCTGGCCGCTACCACATCCAACGTCAATCATTTTTCTTGGTTTACAATCTAATTCGATTTCTTTTCCCAAAAACTTCAAAACCGATTTCAAAATTTCTGTAGGATATGTTGGTCGACTTACCAAGTAAAAATTTGCTAACCTGCTACCTTCATAATATCGATAAATTTTAGTTGACGACATATCCTATCCCGTTTACAGCTTCATATCAAACTCGTACTTCATGAATTGAGTTCGTACTTTTTCCTATTTTCGACATCAGTTACTTAAATTGATTTCATTGGCACGCGAGTTGCAGTTCTCGTGCTCACTAACGAATCACGGAAGTCACGGTTAACTTTTATGGACAACATCAAGTTCATTAATGAATATTCAGCACGTTGATATTGATCATCGCGAATGTAACACATAATATAAGTTAATCGTATTGAATATATGCCGGTTGTTTTTGCACTTACACCATATGTACCACCGTGCACATTTTAAACTTTTTATAAATTACTTATCTTAACAGTTTGTTCTATTGAATTTATTCACAGCCACCATCAGCCGTCGTACTCGGTTGGCCGTGATCTGTCATTAATGTCTCTAGACTCTAGACCAGGGATGTTCAATCTGTGGCCCGCAGGTCGCATGCGGCCCACAGGAAGAATTCGTGCGGCCCACTTGAAGTTTTTATATAAATACAGACATATAAACATATTTAACATGAGAAAATTTCCTGGTATGATATCAAATCCTAATAGAATTTAGGCTATAAATTCACGCGACTCCGCCATAAGAAAAGCGTTGTTAAGCGCCTCAGAACATGATTTTACACAGGGCCACTCAAACTTGCAACATCTGTGGCGACAATGAACTCATTGTGGAGTCATCGAGGTCATACCGATTCTGGGTTTTATCGATGGTAGTTGACGAACCACAAAATCAAATCCACCGGCATGTATGGAACAAAATAGATGAAGCTTGAGGACGAAAATCGGAAATATCAAAAGGATTGAGAAGAGTTTCAAGACAACGATGTATGCCTAATACGCCGTTTTGAGTTTGAAGTCGTATAATTTGAAAATTCTAGACGTTTGAGTTAGTGACGCTCAAATTCTGACGTAAATCAGAATTGGGTTGGTTTTTAAGTTCGGTAAAAACGTTTGCGGCCGCAATAATTTTCCCCATGTGAAAGTGGCCGCCACACTAAAAAAGGTTGGACATGCCTGTTCTAGACGAAAAAAAAGTGATGCCAAATTTTGAAATGTCTTTCAAATTATTTAATTGCTCACATAGAACTCATTGACAAAGTAATGCAATAATTAAACTTCGAAAAAGAGAGCTGCCAAACATCCTTAAACGACCACGTAGAATAAATTAGGGAGATTTGTCTATTTGTCACGACCAAATTGCGAAAGATTTAAATACTGAACGATCCAACCACACGTCAGCTTGAATCGTTAGCACATTGATATTGATCATCAGTGTGAGAATATACCGCAGAGTGTATACAACAGGTTTGTGGATTGGATCAAATACATAAGAAAATTTTTTTTAAAAATCAGCCATTAATTGTCATTTTCAGATGTCCAAGAGATGGAGCGAAAGAGAGTAAAATTATAAAAGTAATTAGAGTGAAAAAGCCCATATTTCAATAGAATTCCAAAAATAACAATACAATTTACTAATAGAAAACTACACAAATCAGACAGTTGTCAACCTCTTAAGGTGAATGCTATTTCTTCACCTGAATTAATCCGAAAACATATTTATATAGGCAAACATATCTCGCAACAATGATAATCACACGTTAGTCATTCGTTTGATCGCTGAATACTACACCACGTCAAACACGCTTATTGAAGAAGTAATATTTTGATGCATCACAACCGAAGTGACGCCATGATTATAAGACTAACTCAGACTTTTTGATAAAAAAAATGATGGACTTAAAGAGAACGCATTGAAAAAAAATTCTAGAGACAATGAAAACGCTTTAAGCTAGAAAAAGAAATTGTATTTTGTGTTTGACATTTTCGTCATTAACAAGAACAATGAAAATAACAAACGGCAGCAACTACGTTAGTTAGTTGGATTATTTATAATCTGACTGAGCCTCGAATGCGAGATCTCATGATTAATGTTGTCGGTAACTTAGGCAGCTTGTCATCCTTCATACTTCAAACATTAATACAATATAACGTTTCAATATCATAGATTATAAAATCACTTTTTGGGCAATTCAGTATTTTGGAAATAATATGTGGAATATGCAATTTTTTTTTTCATTTGTTATTTTTTTAATTCGATAAAAATGATAAAATTTTTACCTAACAAATTTACACTTCATTTGTTAAAAAATGATCGCCGTATTTCATTTTGTTGTCAATTTATAGCGAGAATGCACATATGTCAATATAACATTCAAATGTACCAAACAATTTGCGAAAAGAAAACACTCAATTCAAACAGTTTTCAAGCCATGTAATGTTTCATCTTTCTGAGTTTTACGGAATGCGATTGTAGGATAAACATAATTTGCTACCTTCATAATATCGATAAATTTTAGATGACGACATGTCAAATCCGAATCATTAACTAATAACCTGAACATAACAATTTGAACTGATTTTACAATAACGCGATTTTATTAACTAGTATTTAGAAAAACGCAAAACGAATTATAATCAATACCTTACCCACGTTGATCATGATAATCAGACTATAGAATAATTATATTGCATCAACCTTGGCTATTGTTGCACGTTCGCCATTCATTTAAAAATTGATTAACATCAACGATCGAAAAGTACAATTGATCCAAATTGAAGAGTTTTTATTGCGTATATCAGTCGTAAGCCGTTGTTCTCATTTGGCTGTGAGCCCTCAATAGTTACGGAATAGATGAGGGTATTGTTATGCCCATTTTTTAAAAAAAATCAAATATGTTAAATTCACCACCGCTCCTGATTTGTTAATTTGAACGGCGAATCACATTGCTCGGAAGTCTTTTTTTCTTATGAGTGAAAGCGGGTAACTTAGTTCGAACAAATTTCTCCTAAAAAAATTAACCTGAGTTTGTCGAGTTCAAGAAGGAACCCAAATTACGGTTTAGCTTCAGTCAAAAAATAAAGTTATGAGGAAGGAAATATTCCCCCTAAAAAGTTTCTTTACTGTTCTTGGCTGACATCAAACATCTTCGCTCACGTGACATTTTTAGGATTGCGCCACCCCTTCCTAATTGTTCCTTGATCGTTTTTTCGTAACTTTATATTTTGTAGTCAACCTTTTCTTGTCAGAACCTTTTTTAATATCATAAATTGCTTGCAAAGCACCAAATGAAAATTTCTGATTTGTGTCAACACCAATAACTTTCGACCCGAGTAGCAAGAGAGCTAACAGATTGTAATTCATGGCTACAAAATTAGCTAATATTCTTAATGCTTTCTGATACTAAGCAAAACAACTCCATAACAAATAAAAAATAATATTAATAATTAGGAAGATGATTTTATTCTCTAAAATTTTTCAAGGCTCAACCTACAGCACAAAAATTAAACGTATTATTTTTACACCATCACGTCTACTATTATTGTCACAATAATTGATGCGGCACCAATGTTTCAGTAACATTTCAATGGTCCTAAAGTGTAGTATCCAAAATACGATGTCGAGGTATAATAGAATCCAAAGTGCATTCCAGTAACTGGAAGTACATTTTTATCATAAAGATATCCAGCATCGACTCGATCTGGAGACGAACCGTAGTAATCACAGTTGCACTTGTGACTATAAGTAGTGCCAGGCTGGCAAGATCCTGAAGTGAATGATATAGTTATGACAGATTACGTTTTGAGTTCCGTCAGAGTTGGCGACAAGTGCAGAAATAGATTCGCTTCAATATGACCGATATCTTACAGTGACCAAGACGATTTAAAAAAACAACAATTTGCACAAGTCAAAGCCAGCTGGGCTAAAATGTCATTCGCGAAATAGTCATAGAGGTAACTTTTTTATTTCTTCTAGATGTCGACAAGAAACTTAATATTACTGAAGTGAATAGTTTAAAGTTCAAACAAAATAACAATCAAATCTATTTGGGGTTCAAATCACAGTATACTTTCACAAATTGAATTTGTCAAATTCAATACGTCTTGCTACTAATTTCGGACAATAAAAAAGACTGAAAGTGACGCCACATAGTGGATTAGAATTGCAGCAACAGAGACAAAAGTTGTTTAAATTGCAACAATCATGTGAATAATGAAGAATATGTAATAAATGGTGAGATCGTCAGGTAATCAGGTTAGTCATTGAATAAATGATGGGGAATAGAATTGAACAGGGGTTGTGAAAAGTGATGCCCACCTGTTTCTCCACAAGCACAATATCCATCATGATTAGGATCAGCTCCTCCCCAGTACGTCATATTGTTTCCTTGTCTCGAAATCCACCAAGTGTATCCACCGTACAGCATTCCCGTTCTACGACATTGCCACTAAACAGAGTCGTAAATTAAAACAAGATAGCGAAACTCAAATATATGGATACGAAGAGCCAATCAATACCTAACCGCAAGGTACTCCTGTACAATGTAAACCAAGATGACAGACACCGGAACGTATATGTGTACCAGGTTAGGGTTAGGCCATAATTTTAAGTACAAATACTACGGGAGTCACTGGTCTAGTCCCCAAACTCGTAATAGAATTAAAATAAGGAAAATTGGAATAAAATTATGGACTAACCCTAACCTGGTACACCACATACTATGTTCCGGTGTCCGCCATCTTGGTTCACATACTACAGGAGCGCCAACCGCAGTGCCGGTAACCCACGCAAATCATACGGAAATGTGTCGCAAACGCTTACAGAACCGAGTTCGCAAAATTAAAACGGAGGACAGCGTTGACGTAGGACGTACCGCATGACAGAATTAAAACGGTGTTCCCCTGAATAAAAAAGTGAAATTTTGGATGAAATATCTGATCTCATAGAATTCATACAAAATTTAGGACCCATGAATTGTAATAATAGACTTCTGCCGATAACAACAATCTTTAACCACTAAAGATTTCAAGGTAATTGGTCCAGTAGTTGAAGTAAAAGGTGATTTATTTCACGACAACAACAAGAATACCAACAACAACAACATAATAACGAAACGATCCTCTCGCTTCAGTACAGTTTTTAAGTAGTTTGTAATGTGTGCACAAACGAGTATTACAATAGAAAAGATGTAACTATGTAACAAAATATCTTGTTTTTAATACAGCTAATACAAAGCAAAATTTTGTACCAAGAAAGACGAAATTTCTCCGCTGAGGGAGTTTCACACTAATTGGGAAATATGCAGTTATCTGAGCATTCAGAGTCGTAACAATTCATACTAGCAGAGGTAACGCCTTGCTTAGTAGTGAGCCTCGGAGTTAACAAAAAGATGGCGGATTGGTCTGACGCAACACCAGCACTTATCGTAAAAATAGAACATTTATAGGTGAAATAACGTGCCCAGTAGAACTGGGGGTAAGTATGAAATAAGATATTAATAGCCTTATAGCGACTACTTCCATCTTTGAACAATGAGAATTATACATTAACCACAATAACAAGTCCCCCAGAAACAGCTTGGCAAAACGTTCCATTTCGCGGCAAACTTCGTGTTCTATAACATTTTAATGACCAAGAGCTTTTGATGATCACTATAAAAAGTGGTTTGTTTGTTCAGAACGCATGGGACGTGTTGTAGCTACTCTATATTTTGGATTGATTAAATTTCCCCAGACCATAGTATTCGCGAAAAGCCCTTGCTTGAAGTAAAAAGTAAAAGCTAACCTCAATGTATTGCTCGCAGTAATTGGATCCGTTAATAAGAGCACTAATTTGTTCCATAGTCACATTGTAGTTGACTTTAATATCGTTGTCAGTATTGTAAGTAAGTTGGGAACTCTTACTTTCTTTATCATGATGTACAACTGTTATCCCTGTCCCAAAATAAGATTATGATGAAGGTTGGATTCAACAAGAGTGCAATTACTTGTATCTCATATTATTAACTTCTGAAGTTGAAAAAGAATGAAACAAGATATATACATAAATAGTTTAGGCTCATCTGGGCTGATTCCCGATCTGTACCGACCTGTTCCAGGATAAGAATCCATATCGCAATAAACTTCAAACGGTTGAACACCAGCACCAGGAGCTATTGTATAGTTTCCTGACGGGTTTCCGTCTTTCTTGAGACCAGCACAATCCTTGGTGCTCACTGAAATTTAAAAAAAAACGGTCGAAATGTATGTTAGAATTAATTGTATCAGATGAACTTCACCGTAGCAAAGAGAAATACCTTTGCTCTCGCACACGTAAACGTTTCTACTGTTTACTTACCTTTTACACATGTGAATAGCTTGAAAATCACACTTATTTCATTGTAACTCACGGGAAGATATAAGTCAACTAATTAAATTTGAATTTAAAGATAAAATGATAAAAGTAAAAATGTTTATGTACATTATAAAATAATTCTTCTTGCAATTGCATTGAAATGAAAATAGTTCTAGATTTCATTTCAAATATGATCTGGGTACCTGTTTTATCTGTCTCTTCTTTTAATGCATATTCAATTAGCTTCAATTATTATTTTATTCACAGTTTATTATAGAATTGGTGTCTCGACTTAGCAACTTGGGATAAATACCTTGTCCTTTACATTCCAATTTTCCAAGAGTAAAATATCCCCTTTCTTCAGCACCTAAAACGTCTCCAAAGAAGAGCTGAGTTACAGGCAAAGTATCCTTCGAAGATATATACCTGTAATATATTCGAATAATCAAGCAACTGGCAGTTACCGGTGATTAATATCGGTTTACTTTTTGTGATGAACTGGTAAAATAGTACAGGTATGAGCTTTTCAATCAAAAGCGATTTTGGACGTACAGGTTGACCCACGAATTTCTTAATTACCTCCACGAAAATGGAGAAACTTTATGTAACTCTTAACTTCTGTTTGTGACTGATTGTAACCGGAAGTTTTGGTAATGTAGGAATCTTTGCACAAAAATTATGTTCTCTTCAGAGTTTCCAAATGGCCCGTTTTTTTTTTTTTGAGAGAGAGAGAGAGTAAATTGTTGAGCATACAAAAAACTTCATGTTTGTCCAAATAACAGTCACTTACAAAATTGCACTTATTTAACAGATTCATTACTAAATGGCATCACCTACATTTGCCATTGAATACTATTAAAAGAAATAAAAAAAAATTGTATATTCAACACTTGAGATTGCCCCGATATCACTTTGATAATTATATATATACATATGGTTTGATTGGGGTATATTGGCGACCTACCCGTCATCTTGTCTCCAAACTAAGTCATTATTATCACAGTTACAAGTAGTGGATTTCCCTTCGCATGTTCCTTTTTTTCCGCATTCACACATATTGCTTCCTGCCAGATACAATTTTTTTCAGGTCTGATTAAAAAATCTTGGAAGTAAAACACGAATGATCAAATGTAAACTAAATTTGAACCTGGATCGGCTCCAGCCCAGTAATGTTGCTCTTCGCCATCTCTCGACACCCACCACGCATAATCATTGTAAGAGAACAGCATTGATCCAAGACATTCGTACTGTTTTTCATATTGAAACAAATAGTGATGTACTTTATACATTTGTAGGCACTATATAGTACAAATGTTACCAACAAACCTACGATGTATTTTACCCAAATATTTTTTTATAATATACCGAATGTAAGTTTGGAACATAGCATATGAATACAAATTCAGAAACATTTACATTTTAATTGATCTGTTGATTTTTGTCTCATCTCGTTTCATATTAATTGTATTTGTCAAGTCGTACAAGAATTATCTGGGATGGTAGAGAGCTTTCATATAAAACTTTTGTTGGGAAGTTCCGAATGAATTCACACAACACCCAAAGCTGGCAAGCACGAATGCAAAACTAAATTAACATGAAACCGATTATTTTTTAAAGTATTTATTTATATTTGTAACTTTTTTAAGTAACTTACCGACAGATATTGTTGACAGGATCTTGATGTCCACATGACAGCTTGGATTTGTTCCCAGGTTTGATTGTATGTGATGTTATGAGAAAAGCAACCTGGATCCTGGCAGCCATAGACGTACGTCCTTTCTTCAGAATTATGTCTAATTTAATAGAATATATTTGAGAAAAACTTGATGGCTTATTATATAATCGAGCCACTTGCTCGAGAAAATAATTACACCAATGCTTAATTCAATTTACCCCAACATCGTAACGGCCCATTCTGGATCTGATGTCATGTTGCAGTAAACTTGAAACGGTGGTATAGAACCTTTGGGACCGTCTGGATCTATTTCATAGTATCCGGAATCGTAGCCACTGAGTTTGTAGTGTTCGCATGATATTTTTGCTGTAAATATAGACACAAAACTGAATTGTTGTAATTGACTGGTTATTAATAAAAAGTTACTTATGATTTGTTTTATTTGAAGATGTAGTCACAAGAGTTAGCTGTTATAAAATCGAATGAAAGACGCTTCAAAAAAAGTTTTAAATTTGAATGAAAGAAGCAATAATTTATATAAGATTGATCCATTGCGCAACTTACGGTCTGTGTAGTTGATTGTTTCTTCTATTTGTTCTACTCTACTTTGCAAGCTCGTCAGTTGTGTTTGCAATGCTGCGACCTTCAATTGGAAGTTGTAAAAATGGTATTATGAATTAATTTATTATCCAAAAATTTGTATGAAGTGAACAACTCAAAATCCGGAATGTTCACCACCTGCAATGGCTTCCGCCTATTATCGTCATCACTCGAGGGAAATGTAAATGATAACACGCGAAGTTGTGGTTTTATTAATTTTATTTGGCGTATTATGGTGATCACTGCGTAGATTGGCATATTTCTATTTTGAAATTGTAAGTTTTTTTGTCTGCAATGTAATATTAAATCGGACCTCCTGAAGTATGCGCACCAAGATGGCGCACAACCTGAACTCCGGTTGTGTCCAGGTTAGGGTTCAGGTTATGCGACATCTTGGTGCGCATACTTCAGGAGTACCAATAAATCTGTATTTCTGTGATGGAAAATAAACTAAAATTTCGTGTTGATACATGATAAGTTTAATCATATATTAACACTCACGTGTCCTTTTAATTCATCGATTTGAGTTTGCATATCGATACAGCACTGTTCCTCAACCGGTTCTGAATCTGCAATGAAGAGCGGTAGATCAGAAATATGATAACGGGTAAAAATCGATACCTTGCGAAGTTTCAGATGTAAAAACATGTCAAAATGACGAACATACTAACCCACACCAGATTCTTCATACGGCAAAACATCGTCAGCTTTGGTTCTAGTTGCCGAAAAGTATAAAGCAATCAGCAGAATGCTTAATCGGGACATATTAATCGCTTGCATACCCTTTCTGCAGTTGTGTGAATCCCGAATAAAAGTATGTGACTTCGAGGAGTAATATGCTTCTTTTATACATTTTTGTCGAGGGCGTACGTGCTGGGGGGTTGGGGGTGAGAAAAAACATATTGAGTTGCTTAAATATTACGAGGCAAGTTGTTGATTTTACTTCTATATTTGTATCGTTATCGAGTCATCGGTTTGACAGTTGCAAGTATTCCCATTACCGAGCAAATATTGCTTTCAATTGCATAATAACAAAATGTACTGACTTTGACCTCATTCCAGAACGACTCTGGTTGAATAGTGCTTGTGCATTAGAGTTTTTATATATTTTTAGAAATCTCCTAACATAAATTGCTTCGAAACGAGACTCATATTAGCAGAGTGTGCAAATCAATATTGAAAATTTTATTTTGAAACCCATCTTACGTTTTATTCGTTTGCTCATACTTCCAAAATAGGTTTTTGCTTAGTAAATCGCATTGGGTGTGGCCAATTTATATCTGAGAATAGAAGTACATTCAACAATTGGAAATGAATCCAGATAATTATTTTTTTTTTGCTTTTTCCTTATCATATGTATAATATCAATGTTGCACATTAAGAAAAATTTAATAAAACTTATTGAAATAATCCGTTTTTGGTGATTATCTTTCCTACTTTCCTAATAAGCATGTTTCATTGGGACGTCTATTTAACGCCAACAAAAAGGGGGAAGTTGAATAATAACACTTTTGATGTACAAGTTTTTCTCCAGCTATTGTAAAATATAGTAAAGTATTGTAAAATATAGTAAAGTAAAGTTAAAAATATTTCTTTAAATTGCAATGAGAATTTATCGATACCATATATTGTTTTGAACCTCACAGATGTATCAAATGAAGTAAAAATACTTAAACAATTACTGATTGTAAAACAACAAACCTGGTTAAGATATATATATTGGGAACTGACTTCGTAACAAAATTGAAATTGTAAGAGGACTTTATGGACACCCTGTATATCTTTTCTTGCACTTTACGTATCATAGACCCAGTATCTGGAGATGTGAATTTTTCATAAACGCAGACGCGATGTTGTCGAGACAAAAGTGGCAGACAGGAAATTCTGTATTTTGTTGACTCTTTTGAGTTACATAAGATCGTTCAAAGTTGCACGTAGTCAATATACATTGTTTGTTTTCTCATCTCGTCTTGTTTTCCCGTTTCCCGTAACTAAGCTGAGAACATGTGCAGCTGTTTAGGTAAAATTCAAATTTCGGGTTTCAAAAATACCCTGTTTTATTTGCTGTTGCGTGATGCAAAACAAGTCAGCATATGCCTAGCGTCATATTTTCCCATATAGTTACGCAACAGGAAGCAATAAAACCCCCGATCATTTTGAATCTTGTTTTATTCAACATAACGTTTAATACAGACGAGTTCTCATTTCAACGCGAAAATGATGAAGAAACCTTTATTGCTGATTTCCTTAGCACTAATGATCAACTGTTGTTCAACAGCTCCAGAAACAACGTCCAAACCAAGAACGACATTTAAACCAAGAACGACAACAGGCAGGGTCTTTTTATTTTGTAAAATAAATAGCCGGATTTCTCGAATCCACCCCTATAAGCTTTTGGCGTATGGTCGAATAACATATCTTCGACTTTAATCATATCTAGTCCAGCGCTCAGTTCGTGCTTGATACGTCACAACTTGGTCAATGCGATTTCCAGAAAATTCGTAATTTACACTGAAATTCAAATATCGTAACCAAGCCTACCTAAGCCTAAAAAAATCATAATTGTAATTCCAATGTCGTTAGTTTATTGAGTATAAGATACACTGTAAATAAGTTCAAATTGTTTTGTAACCTGTAATATGCATAATGCGGTTTCTTATTGCATTGTGTGCATTTTGATAAAGCCTTCAATTCTTTGTTTGGTGAATCAATAAATATTTTCTTGCAGCCGTTTCCACAATCGGGCCATGCTGTCCGTCATTACAAGCTGAACTTGACAACCTAACTGCAGAGGTAATTTTATAAATTTATGTTGAAGTGTTATTTTATACATACAATAGATATCTTATGTTCTGCAATATCAGTACATACGGCACCCATTATTGTCTTCCATAATAAAATGTAACGCGATAGAAATTTGTCATATACACAAGTGAACCACGGAGAAGTATAAAAATGAATATTCCCGAATGTGCAAACACAATTTGTGGCGACGCTCATAGCTATAGTCTGCTGCAATAAAAACTTAAATCCTTGCGCATATTTTCAACTGACTGTATTTCTTTAGGCAGCAGCGTTGCAAGAAGAAATCATCGACTTTCAAAATCAGGTTGATGCAATTGAAATAACTGTTAATCATCCAGATGGTGAGCAATTATAACTGTATGCTTTTATTTACAAAAATATTTTCTTTTCCTTAGTTTTCCTCAATTATTTTATATTGTTCAGCAAAACAATCCTGTGACGAATTCAAAAAAATGGATTTTTCATCCGGTTATTACAATATTGATCCAGATGGCCCTGATGGTGAAATGTCTCCGTTTGAGGTTTATTGTGATATGGACTCTGATCCTGAATGGGCTGTTACTATGCTTGGGTTAGATCTGGTTTGATTGTTTATATGTGAAGTCATTTAAAAACTTTAATGTATTGAAGAATTTGACTCTTGAATTGACTCTTATTTCTATTAAGAAAATAAATGTTAAAACGAAACTAATTTTCAAAAGTTTAGGTTTATGTCGTTTATTATTTGTCGATACTATAGTATTGTAACTCAGCAAGAATATAAAGTTACCTAAAAGTAGTACATAAATACATAAGTCCATTTTTTCAGTCATGATTCTGAATCGCGTACGCTTGTGAGTGGTTGTCAAAATCCCGGATGTTACTCACGAGACGTTACTTATCGGCAATCCACGTATCAGATTGAAGCTATCATTTCAGCATCACAGACCTGCAAGCAATATCTTTCGGTAAATATTATTTAATCGTAGGAAATATTTGTATGTCAGTTTTTTCGATATGGTGACATATTTAATACTGACGAAATAGTATATTTTCTATTTACGGTCAAACGAAAAACTTCCAAACCAAAGAGCATTGTTCAAGTATTTGGTCGAGCACCGGTGCTTCCTATCGCCATATAATGCTAATAACACCGACGTAATGGATGCAAGAGATGTCACCTTATATATTACAGTAGGAGAGATTAGTAATCTGTTAAAGCTATATTCACCGGTAAAATATTTTATTTTGCCCTTGCTTTACTTTCTTATAAAAAAAATTTACAGTACGAATGCTACGGATCAATGTTATTCGAATATTCCGATTATGCTTGGTGGGTCTCACGTGATGGCGTAAACCAGTATTATTGGTCAGGAGCTGATGAAGGTAATAATTTCATTTAGAATTATATATACGATGTATTTGATGAAGTTGTGATATGCCGGCGATAATAGGCACAAAAAGGAAATTATTTGATGCTATGCTGTACGTAAAGCATATTAAATTTTGAATACGATTACCTTTTGCTAGTCTCGGCCCCCACGCACTGATTTCGTTTTGAATATTTTTTTGTTCTATACTTATTGAAGGAAGCAAAATGTGTGCATGTGGAAAAAATGGAAACTGCAATGGAACATCAACTACCTGCAATTGTGACAACAATGACTTTGAATGGAGACAAGACGATGGGTAAAGTTTACCATTAGTTTTCGTCTGTCACAAATTTTAAATTTGAAAAATAGGTTCAATGAAGCGCAGTTACAATTTATGAATCTGTTTTTACCTGGTTAATGCTCCTTTCTACCTAAACCGACATTGGTAAATGCCGTAATGATTCTTATTCTCGGTGTGGTATTGTTTTAAGGTATTTGACAAACAAGAATAATCTGCCAGTGACTCAGATAAATTTCGGAGATGTTTTAGGAATTGAAGAAAAAGGTTATTTCACTCTGGGAAAATTGGAATGCAAGAGTGATGGTATGAATAAATTAATTTGAAACTTTATTTTATTCCTATATCAGCTCTAACAATAGCTAATAGAAATAAAAGATTAGGTTTTTTTCATAAGTTTTAAAGTTCATGTATGCAGCTCGTGTATATATATATATATATATATATATATATATATATATATATATATATAACCCATGTCCACCCAGAGGTTAACCGAGTGAGAATACATTGTAGGCTATTAGTATTGTATTGATCACTTTAAATAAACCAGTAAATGTGTTTCCAACGTGTAGATTCGACATTAATTTTAATGTTTCTGTTTGTTTTTTTAGCAAAAAGCATTTCAACTTGCGCTGGTCTGAAAGAAAGTGGAAATCCGACAGGGTATTATAAAATTACTCCAAGCTCAACCGTTGAATCTTTTTTAGTTTATTGTGACATGGATTCTTATCCGGGAACAGGTTGGTAGTTTCCGCTACCGGTTTTACTGATGGTATTTTTTTTTCTCTGTAGGCGCGTTAGTCATGTGGTTAAGGCGTTGAGAGATTAAAACTCGTAATGGTTCAAGTTTTATTTCCACTACCTAACTTTAATAAAATTGGGTAGGAAATCCAGAATCGAAAAAAGAACTGTCATTGCAAAATAAAGTAACTATTTTCCTATCGGTGGTTGCTTTTATTGACCCTTGTTTGGACTTTGGAGCATACATTTTTTAGTTAAATATTGCTTAATGTCTAATCTCTTTGGGCAAAATTTCTCAACATATTTCTTCGATCCCAGCCGCGTACCACATAACTTTGACCATCAGTTTTAGATCACATATGCAAAAAGAAATGTGTTAAAGGGTTAACCGATTCGATAGCATACAAACATAATACAAATAAACGAATCCGCCCTAAAACCCATGGAAAGGTAAACTTAACGTATCTGCACACTTAACTAATCAAGTTAAAATTCAACTTATTCATGATAAAAATAACATTTCAAGAACTAGTACCCCATGCCTGGGAATATTTTGCTTGCAGAACGACGGGAATTAGTTTTTTGCCTACTGCTTGATTGTAAGAAAAGTGGAAAACCTTATTCCACGCAAAACAAAACAAAACAAAAAGATCTGGGGCAAAATTGTCATTACTAAATTCATGAATATGTAATTTGCTGTGATATCGAATGGTTTTTCGTATTTCATGGAAAATATCCAGCGTACCGCCTCGGAAGCTTTGCGTTACATCAGTGTCTCGCGCATCGTCGATTGGATACCTTTGGCTTAGGGAATTAGACAACTTCGATTCCTATAGCCTTGTAACATATTTTAATGAGAATTGAACACTATCAGCACATAACTATTATTAAATCTAACCTTTTCCAGGAATAACCGAGATCGACCACGATGAGCAAAGCGGAAGTCTTAATTACTATTCTTCCAATAAAAATATACAAGTTAATTACAACGTGTCAATGGATCAGATTGTTGCTCTAATGAGTGTTTCACAGCAATGTGAACAATATATTGAAGTTAGTAAAAGCTAAATAGAATATTTTTTTTTTAGATATTGATCAATAATATTAGTGATATATATTACAGTCATTTTGATTCATTTCAGTGGCGTTGTTCCAGAACAAGGATGTTTTACAGTGACAAAAACTGGTGGCTGTCACGTGATGGAGACAAAATGACCCACTGGGGAGGAGCTTCCCCCGGGCATGATGGATATTGTGGGTGTGGAGAAACTGGTAAGAGCGTAACCCAGATTTGAATAAAATAAAATATAGGTCATAAAAATGTTTATACCACAGGAACGTGTCTGCCTGGAACCAGTTATGTACACAAATGCAATTGCGACTATATTAGCTCCAGTGATGGCACATACCGTGTTGATGGAGGGTATCTGTACGACAAAAGCACATTGCCAGTAACTGGCATGGCATTTGCATTGGATTACTATTACTCTTCTTCCACTTATTCTCGGGGAGACTACAAACTTGGAAAACTTAGGTGCTATTGATGCCCTAACCTGAAACATACATCAGTACTTTCTGAAATTATGAAAATGAATTTTACTAAATCTAGTAATAAAATAATTTACTGATGATTTACTCAATATTCTGTACGATATATCTTTTTTATCGGAAGGTTGAGGTGAATGTTGGTTAGTTAATATTTTCATATTTAGCTCGGGGAGAGGAAAGTCAATGTATAATACAGATCGATCGTAAAACGAACAACAACAAGTCAAAAACGTAATCGACCTGCGGCAGTGATAGCCCGACCTATATCGATACCATAACCATATGGCGAACCACTATCTTTCACCTCGTTATTAGTACCTGTTCCAGGGGATAGCAATCTGTTTCAAGGTTTTGAATGTATAAAATTGAGTGATAGGCATTGATGGGTTTCAGAATGTTCCTGGAATGTCGTCGCTGAATTCATCACTGGATAAGATGGCGACACGCTTAACTATAGGAATCCGCAGAACAGCATTCCTTATGTTTTATCTTTGCGTCAGTGGTAATATTCATTGGTTCTTCCTGTTTCTCGGCCACAGCAGATAGTAGGGTCAATAAAGAATGTTATGTTAGAATATGCAGAGCGACCTCAGAAAAACATACAACAACTAAATCGAAGTAGGAAATGCGAACACCACGAAACGTTTATTATAATATTCTCTACCAGGGAAATTCATCTTACAAATAAAGCCATTTAGTTTGAGATTAAGGTTTGATTGCGCTCCTGAAATGCTTGATTGCATTTGTTCAAAACTTCAAAAATATCCTATAAATCTCATAATAAATAAATTATAATTAATTATCTATTATTAAAATTAATAACTAAGTTTTTTTTTTAACTTCTATTTATATTATCGAAAGAAATGACAAATACATGAACTTTGTTATATATGTCTGGGCAAAACTACAATAAAATTCAAATTAATGATCTGGTGACCTATTTTCCAAAAGACCTAATGCTAAAAATTGTTCGTTTATACCACCATTTATTTTATCGAATTCTGTAGGGTCTTGTGCAATTTGTAGGCCGTCAATTATTTCCAGTGTCTGAGCTGGTAGCATTACTGCTAGAGTCCTATATTCCAAATTGTTTAAATAGTTGCATTTGATTGGCACTAAAAAGTGGGCGTTTCAGAGTTTTCTATAGCGCGATAAGACCCCATCGAGAAGTCCTAACGAGTATGTAAATCGACATCTCTTGGGTCCACATGAAAGCTCGGTATATATTCAGACACAGCGAAATTTGTATAAAAAAGCCTTGAATTTTATATAGGGCAAGGAGTGTTTCGTGATTTTGGTTTGTTTATTCTGGCAATCTACTTTCATACATCGGTTCTCGTTATCACATGTACCAAATCCTGCGCCCTGGTCGACATCGATGTTTGTTTTTATTTCTCGAAGGTCCGCGCGCTTTGGTCTTTGGTCGCGCTTTGAATGTCTATTCTTTTTCTATTCATGAATATGTAATATGCAGTGATATCGAATAGTTTTTCGTATTTCATGGAAAATATACAGCGTACCGCTTCGGAAGCTTTGCGTTACATCGGTGTCTCGCGCATCGCCGATTGGAAACCTTTGGCTTGGGGAATTAGATAACTTCGATTTCTAGCCTTGTAACATATTTTAATGAGAATTGAAAACTATCACCACATAACTACTATTAAATCTAACCTTTTCAAGGAATAACCGAGATCGACCACGATGAGCAAAGCGGAAGTCTTAATTACTATTCTTCCAATAAAAATATACAAGTTAATTACAACGTAACGTATATATAACGTTCGTACGTATATATATAACGGTCGACATCGATGTTTGTTTTTATTTCTCGGAGGTCCGCGCGCTTTGGTCAACAAAAAATAAAGCTATTGTGCAATCATTGGTCGAGGAAAATTATAGGAATAAATTTGCAACCCAAATTTACGTCAATATGATAATTATATTTCGTGTAAATTTTAATCATCCTTATCACCACCGTAAAATAAAGAGTGTACTGTATAAGATCTTTGCTACTGGCTTTTTTGCGTTAAATAGAACTTCTGAAATTTAGTCACTGTGTAAAAATGCGTGCATATTGTTTTCAGATATTTGCAATAGCTTTGTGCAATAAGATGGTTTGTATTAACTAACCTCTTGATATTTAGATTTTTTTTTCATAAAATATATTAGTTTTGTGAAGAGAAAGATACTAACAATACATTCAGTGAATCAAATGCTTAATCAGATTTCTATCCTGGAATCCATAAATATTAAACAAACACATTTAAACAAGTGGGTGATGCTTCATTAGATGGACACGAAGACGTATAGTTAGCCTAGGTCAGGTAGACCAATGGCTTGTTATACACATTCTTCACTCAGCAGCAGACATTATACAAGCAATTTATTGTTCATTCTGAACAACAGGCCAAGAACAAGAGAAATACTTGTTTGAAGATCATTTTTGAAGGATCAGATTACTTACGACTAGCTTCGGATTAATATTCATCATATAATATAAACACGTCATATTTGAATCACAACGACATAAAGCTTTAAATCAGCACTTTGTTGCTGCTATTTGCAAAAATATCTTATTGGTTGTTGGTATTCTTCATATCTCTGGTTTACTGCTTCTGAATTTATAAAACATCACCGGTTATTGGCGGTCAATTGGCGCCCCTTCGTGTATTTTCACAGATTGAAGCGATATCACACACACTGTGAATAAAACGAAAAACATCTGAGTGACGTGACGAGTTACAAAATCTTGTTCCATTCAATGAATATTTTTTGTACATATGATATGAAATTTTCCTTCACCTTCTCCGTCATCTCCTTCATACCCATGCCCTTACTCTGCCCAACAAGAACCGCCCATGTACGCCCGACTCCATACCCCCGCGACAGGTAAAACATGCTACCGCAGGCCTTAAAGTCGAAACGCAGTAAATTGCGCATGAACGATGTATATTGCTGTCCAACCTTATCAGTGGTGAAAAAAAAAAAAATTTGTTATAGGCAGAAAAAATTATTCAATCTGATACTACGTGGATGACACACGTCATCTTTCCCCAGATTTTGATGAAATATAAGCTAATCAATGTTATTTAGGCTATGGTCAATCAGTTTTACATTCTGTTATAAATGCATTCTTGAGATTCTATTGCAGGCCGTCCATGGAAATTTCAATGGTATATCTCCTTTTCCTTGGCGCCCTATAAACACGTGCTTATTTTGCCTGATTGTTTATCAAAGTACCGCCAGTACCTCATAAATAACCGTCAAAGGAATCTAAACCTGAAGTGTGTTAATTCTTTTGTTTTCCTGAAAGCCTTCTTGGGCATTCACAGGGCCACTAATATCGTGATGTATTTTCAATTTACTTAATTTGTGCGCATTTTTGACTTTGAAAAACGCCGGCGCAACACCGCCTGTCCCCTTCTAATATTCTTCAGTAGGTTGCTTTCTATTTCAATCAATGTACAGCTTCAATTAATGATCAGAGCTCGAGCATAAATGGTTTTTTCAGCTGGAAGTTTTTGAAATTGTGAACATATTCTCCTAAAAATATGCCGGCGAAAGTTTTTACTCACGATTCCGAGTTGTGTTGAATTACAAAATAAAACATTTGCGGTTCATTAGCGCGATATACAACAGGGTGGTCCAAGGTTGTCGGCTCCGCGGACCACAAATTTATTTTTTCATTGTTCGCGGGCCACAATAGTGCCAAGAATAGGTAAACAGTGCAATACAAAACAAACAGTTTTATTGTGCAAACACATAGTTATCAGACATAGCCATCCCAGGCTAATAGAATCCGCATTCGACTTTCAGCTTTCTATGATGTCATATTGTTAGCATATATTCCCGACCAAAAAGATAGAAAGCCAGATAATAATTTAGACTGCCAAGCACATCATTCAACTTTGCTATTTGCCTCAACTAGCCATAACACTAGTCAATTCAGTGACATTAGTGTCAAATATATGTATCAATAATATGTAACAATATGTTTTTCTGATTAATTTGATTACAAAACAACACGAAATGCGATTTATTGATTACTCTCCAAATGTGACGCGGGCCACAGATAATGGAGCGGCGGGCCGCATGTAGACCGCGGGCCTGAGTTTGGACCACTCTGACATACAAGAATGTTCCCTAACAAGCAATGTGTATCTATGTTGTTGAGTAAAAACCAATGTAGTTTGGAAACGATGTCGATATATTTAAATTTAAAAAAAAACATGAAAAGGGCTCTTCTGAGCAATTCAGTTTTCTAAAAGATTTTCTAAAATATCCCAAATTAAAGTACATTAAACTCACTTATTTTTGGAATGTAGAAATTAATGCGTATAAACATGCTTCCTCACCCCAGTACTATTAAAACCTACTTTAGCTGAGTAACCCCACCGACTCCTCCAGAGGTCAAAAAGCACAGATAGATTGTGACGCCAAATATTCGTAGGCTATATTGTGAGGTTGCACAATCAAGTTGATCCAAATACCAGATAACGATATACACTTAAAACCTTAGGGCAAGTATATATGATGAAACCAAATGTCTACCTAACACAGAACGATAAAACAAGGGCGATCAACACTTGAGCTAGGATAATACGTCATCAATTACGTATAAAACGTTGCACAAATATATCATAGAAGGAAATGAAATCGGGCAACGACCTTGTTTCAGGCAAATTACATTCACTATTAACAATAAGTGGTTAAAAGCATTGAAATAAACAGTAACTATACTTATGTACTTGCTACTATTTGAACACAGAAGAACCTTATTCGGAACACGTTCTTTTGTCTTATTATTGTGGTGCCCATGAACGATGGATGCTTCTATTTAGGTTAGCAGGAACCTTGTTGCAAGTAAAAATTTTCCAATTGTTAAATTTTTCACGTAATTTCCTGTGTAATTTCTTCCACTGTAATTTCGAGCTCTGATCACCAAGGTTGAATCATTGATGTACATCAGGCCTGCACAACTCAAATTACCACGAGGTCCGCAA